GAGAAAGGGTAAAAAAGAGAGAGAGAGAGAGAGAGAGAGAGAGAGAGAGAGTGAGAGAGAGAGAGAGAGAGAGAGAGAGAGAGATAGAGAATCATTAGAACAGCGTTGTATTTTAAGAGTGTTGAGGTGCCTCCAGTTTAAAATCTTTAACACATTTCTTTTCAATAGGAAGGAGTTCATTTTTTAAAAATTATTGGATCATAATATGATGAGTTTTATTATAAGCTGAAATATGAAACATTTAATATATGAAAACATCCGTTCAATTTTGACGGGGTAATATTACTGGCAGATGATTAGAGCCTGTAATTAGTTTTTATTTTATCATAACGGGATGTCGATCGTTATTCCGATATAAAGAGTGGTTTATTTCTAATTGTGCAGACGTGTCACTTCCTCATAGTGAGTGTTACGTCCAGAGAGACCCTGAGAGGCAAACACTCAGGTCTGCCTAAGCTAATACTTTAACAAACGCAAAAAATGTTATTTCAGAATTCATTTCAATTATTTGGCACGTGATAAACGTGTATCACAAACAAAATGCACTTAGCAGTTGTAGATGAGGTCGAAATTGGAAGCAGCCCTATTTTAACCGAAGTTGAGATATTATGTGCATGTGAGTGAGAATTACTGTCGCAGAGAAAAGAGCGGTACATTTTATATTTGCTGTTCAGCTGAGGCATTTTAAAATGAAGACGTTTTAAAATTTGACCGTCGTATGTGTTAACCAATAAATGCACAAACACACACACACAGACACACACACAAAATGACGCCTATACTCTCTGGGTAGATTATGTAGAGAAGCGATACATGAAAATGCTTTTAGTAATACATTAGGTGACAAGTCGATTAGCTCACTTTCATAACAAAGGTAAATAGAGTTACGCCCAGGTAATGATTTAGTGGAGACCATGTTTTCATAAATTGAAATAAGATGGAATGACTGAAATTTAGTTTAGGTGAAAGGAAGTAAACGAAGCAAAGTATGGGAAAACAACAAACGTTTCGGCAAGAAGCCTTCTTCTGCGATCAAACAACAGCCAAAACAATATAAAAATTAAAGCCGCAATGGAGTATCCAGGAGGACAGCAAGAGGAATGGTACGTTAGTAGGTAAGATAGTTTATACAGTCCGGCCTCTCGGATACGACACGGCAGCAAAGTATTCATTTTAATATTTAATCTGTTTGTATAGCTGAAGGAGGCTTCTTGCCGACACGTTTTTTTTTTTGTTCCGTTGCGTCATTTTTTTTAAAGGTCTACCAATACGTTGATTCGCTTATTTCCTTTGTTTAAAAAAAAACAACAAGAACCAAACAAACAAAAAAAAAACAACTACGCCAAATATTATGACAGGGTCTTTGTTCATTGTTGATTTCTGAGTTTGCTTTTGTCATGTGATCCTACTATGGGTATTATGTTAATTCTTAAATTCGGTAGAAACCATTCTTTAAATTGTGTCACTGTATGGGTAATCAGCAACGAGAATATTTGATCAATTTATTCGATCCATAATTATTGACCGCCCCAGACACTTCATTCAAGTCGACGCTATTCAAACGAATGCTTGATTACTTTGTCTTGGGCGCCCTTGCAGCGCTGAGAATTCGGAAGAAAGTACATAGTGTTTCTATAAAACTAAATACATATGGGACAACAGCTAAGGCTCTATAAAATGTGTTTATACACATTATAAATCTCAATTCAAGTTTTGTTTCATTGTAATGACTAGAGTCGATGACTTTTGGTTTTTTTTAGTCCTATTAATGGATTTGTCGTTTTAAACTATTCGTGAAAACATGAAAGTTTTATTCTTTCGATATGACCTGATTTTTTTAATATCGGTTCTTTATGACAGCAAGTACTTCCCAGACTAGCAGGTAATACTAAAGGTCAATAGGCTTCATCCAGCTGAATTGAAGACTATTTAATCAATTATAAGTTAATGGGGAAATTACACATTCTCTAAAGACACAACAGAGATTACCTTACAGTTTAGTTACCTGCTTTTGTTCTCGAAAAGTTCTTCTTCCATGTATATTTAGGGCCCACAACCAAAGTAACGTTCATTTTTGTTTTGTTTAAGAATAGTAGGCACCGGCCTCATACGGGGGAAAGATCTTCGTGATTTATTATTCCAGTGTCTGTCTTCCCAGTTTAAACCTAGACCGACGATAATTTTCAGAGAAATCCAAGTCCCAGACGCGTACTGACAGAGACATTTTGTCATTGATACGAGCAGTCAACATTTGTGAATGTGAGAATTTTAAATACGAGGCCAACTAAAACAACGTGATCTTTGCAATGAATATTCCTCCCTGTTTTTACTTGTTGTTTTTTTTTAAATTTAAACTATTTCTCTTCATTTTGGTGGGGGTGTGGTGGAGGGGGCGTGGATGTATTTTTCTCTATTTACCTAACTTTAAGATACCAACGTCATGAGCGCACGCAAACGTATTTGCTGAAAATTAAATCAGCTCAACAAAACCAATGCCAATAACGATTGTTAATCGTTAAAAATACTTTATTATACTATTTAAAACGAACAATATATATATATGATGACAGATATATTATTATAATTGTTCTCCCAGAAAAACGATGCAACATGATGTAATACCTTCAAATGATAGAAGTGGTAATTAGTGGTTCACATGTTTTTGAGGGTGTACTCTTTGCGTCCTTACTTTCCTTGCGGGTACAATCCGATGTAGACATGTTTGCTGCGGTGTCATGGATGGATATCACGGTCGTTTTCTTTACAACCCAGTGCCTGGGCTACCTAAAGGTAATCTGGTCATGTGTCTACCATCCCCACGCCTTTTAGGGAACTCGCACCAACCAAAGGTTCCAATAATTACTGTGTACAATTGGATTATAATTATATATATATATTGTTATGTAGAAGAGGTGTCTACGTCACTTTCCCCGTGCCGTGAACTCTGTATGATCCCAAAATAGGGCTGCGTTCGTGTAAGGCGTCGCTTATTCCCTTTGATCTTGTTTACCACTAATTAAGTTATCGCCTGTTTTTGGTTGAGTCGAAGGCCTTAGAAAATTAAGGCAAATTGAGGAATGTTCTAGTTACTAGTACATCCGGACTACGCCCCGCATTTTCGAACCGACTCTAACAGCAAAGAGAGCAACATTGAAAGAGGGTGATATTACTTACTTCACATGACTATAGTGCGTAATTCTGTGTGTGTAACTTCCTATTCATCATTGTACCTTATTTTTGGCACATTGTATTAACTGTGTACCATTACAAGACATACCATACTCTGTAAGTTGATAAATTTTATTTTATTTTTTTATTTTTTTTATTTTGTAATTATATTCATGACTAAATAAATCGTATTTATTTTAATTAGCAACTGTTTTGAGTGTCGTATTTTTGCTATTGTATTTTCTCATAGGTTATCTTCAGTTGCTATGCACTGTTTAGAAGTAGTCATAGAATTAAAATAAGAGATTTAATTTCTCACTATAGAAGGCATTGAGTAACAATATACATATAAAAATACCAAATATTCACCGTTATGGCATTTGACATTAAATTGACCCACTTCCCGTCATCGTAACAAACTGAAACTTGGCCCATTGACTTGTTACCGACGACATCACATTCAATCAGATTCACAGACACACACCAACCCCCAAATTCAAGATATCCTGTTTTCTTTAGGTGGAAGATGAATAAAATATATGTGTTCAATGGTTGCGTGATTTGGCGAGGAGATTAATTGTTGAGCTGTTGCCAAGTGATTTGTATTTGTAACATGTTTGGGGTTTAAATATATGTTTAGTCTATTAGGTTTTGCGTCACCTTAGTTGATAAAATCCATTTCCCATTCCAAAACTAAGTTGCTACACTCAAATAAATGATAATTCAAGTAAAATCACATAAATGATAATGCACGTAAAATCACATAAATGCAAATAAAAATGCGCTTAATGCTAATAAATAATTTGTAAATAATATTATCTCATGTTTAAATTTCATTTTAAATTGTCCTTTTAAATAAAAAACTTTCAAGTTTTGATTGACTTAAGGGTTTATATTTAAGTGTGTTGGTCATAGTTTTCTCGCTAACATGTTTTTATGTAGTGTGTCAGCCAGTATACTTGTCATTTCTTCCGAAAAGACTTCCTAGCTTATACCTCTCACCATTAATTAATTTTACATCTAAGCTCACCCGTCTCACCATTCACGTATTTGACATTCCAACGTACTCCTCTCACCTTTAGATGTTTGACATTCATGCTCACCCATCTCACCATTCACGTATTTACACTTCAAACATTCACGTGTTTGACATTCAAGCTCACCCGTCCCAACATTCACGTATTTGACATTCAAGCTCACCCGTCCCAACATTCACGTATTTGACATCCAACCTTACCCATGCCAACATTCACGTATTTGACATTCAAGCTCACCCGTCCCAACATTCACGTATTTGACATTCAAGCTCACCCGTCGCAACATTCACGTATTTGACATTCAAGCTCACTCATGCCAACATTCACGTATTTGACATCCAACCTTACCTATCTCACCACTAAGGTATTTGACATTAAATTGGAATATTCTTTCAAGAAATATCAACTCTACAATATCTTTAAACAGCAATATTTTTTCGCCAGTCTGTAAAAATTCAAATTACTCCATGAACAACTGACCTTAAAAGTTAAAGATTTCTGCCTAAATATTTCAATTATCTTTTTAGATGTCTTGAAATTGTCCTCTATGTACCTTGATAATCAAATGTATTAAATTATGTGAGTTAAATATTGTAGGATAAAACAGTAGATGCAAATATCTGCTAGTCATAATACATTTTCGTCTTGTGTTAAATTGTTCTTCGTTAGAGTATGTATGTATGTGTGTGTTGAACAGGAAATGTACATCGTAATTAAGTAAAATGTTTCATTTATTTGGATATTTATCTTAAACTCCAGCGTGCATTTATTTGATAAAATCAACTTAAATTACGACTGTTAAACGCTGAACGTCACTTCTATTTTACATGAAAAAAAAATAAAAAATAAGAAGAACATGAATCAAAAGACCAAATATTTACAGCCATCGAAATCTGAAGAAAAAAACGAAGTAAAAAAAATGTGTTTTATGCTTTGAGCTCGTCCAGCTTCTCTTTCATTGATTGTATAACATTTTCGATGACAATATTACTCGTGTCTCCTCCACCTTTAAGGTTCAAATCTCCACTCAAAGCTATAGTTAAACTATGTATCCCTGCCGTGGCGTATCATATAACAACAGCGCTGACATGAAGGTTTAAGACAGTGCCATATCCAGCATGAACCCAAGTGTTGTGACCAGCCAGAAGACGAAAAACACGACAAAAGACACGGCATCGATGTGTTTTCCTATCAGTTTATATTTGTCGATTCTCAGAGAATCTTCTTGAGGGCAGTCCGTGCTTTCTCTGCTACCCGGAAGTTCACCTGCTAGTGAATCAGTTGATCCGAATAATGATTTTGAATTTTTCTCATGATCCTGCGGATTGTCATCATTCATCACGTTGACTGAGGAAACTGTTCGTTGTAATGTATTGACCTTGTTGAATGCACGTTTAAATTTTCTTTGAATTTTTCTCTTCAGCGCCACTTTCTGTTTGGAAGTGGGACAAATATTGATAATATTGTTAATGAAAAATAAAAATAAAGTTTATTTCAAAAACACGCTTTATCCCCAAAGGCTCGAAGCGCGGTACAAGTAAAAAAAAAAAATCTATAATTTACCACATTTAAAACAAACGCAACACTACAAAAACTAATTACAAGCATACCAATATTGACAAATGTCCTTTCATTGTGCTATTTTAAAAAATTATACATGAATTTTTTTTTTCAATTTTAACTACACTATTATTAAAAATTGAAACAAAAAATACAAAAACCAACAACAACATACACTTGTTAAATTATATGTACAATACATTTTAGCAATTTAAGTAAGCGACATAGCAGATGCATTGTTCATTAGGTTACAATTTGACAAAATATATCCTTTGGGTCAGTTTTGCATACAATAAAAAATTCAATTGCACATGGTTGTTTATATAGGCTATCTTTAGAGCTAATGCAACAGAGTGTCATATAGAAAAATAGAATTAAATATTTCATTATAATGTATTGCTTTTAAAACTAAAACTACCCACAACATTTCAAAGGAAATGAGCAAGCGGTCGTAATGCTTAAGAAAAAGATATGTTGCACTTACCTCTTCAAAGTGGTCTAGGAAGACGATGATGATGCTGTCGATGACGGTAAGCATGGACATGAAGAGTAAGATGAAGAGGTAGATGGTGAGGTTGGGCATGTTTAAGGATGACCTGGGCAGCATGCCGCTGACAATACTCATGAACACGGACAGCGCCAGTGTGACAGTTATTCCTGGGGATGTCACAAACAGAATAGCAATTTGTTTCAAGCTGTCGTACGAATGTACACAATGCTAGGTGCTTCATGATGAGATTGCCAAGTGATGATTAGGATTTTCGTCTTACGAATGTAACGAGCGTATTTAAAGATTGTCTGTAAAGATTTTCAGTAAAGATTGTCTGTAAAGATTGACTTTCAAGATTTCCTGTAAAGATTGTCGGTAAAGATTGTAAAGATTGCCTGTAAAGATTGTCGGTAAAGATTGTCTGTAAAGTTTGACTGTAAAAATAGACTGTAAAGATTGTCTATAAAGATTGTCGTTAAAGATATCAGACACTTAATATCACTATAGATTGTCTGTAAAGATATCAGACACTTAATATCACTATAGATTGTCTGTAAAGATATCAGACACTTAATATCACTATTGTTAAGGTGAACAATAATGCGTTTCTCACCATATCCGATTTTTTCTCCAGATTCCACTGGGATGACGAATACAAGGATGTTGAGGAATGAAAGAAACACCACAGGTAACACGGTGTTGAGCAGGAGGAAGCTGGGCCGTCTTCTGAGGTAAAATGTCATCTGTAAATTCATATGTTCTAGAATAAATAATTGCCAATACATGTTTCCATAATTTCTGTCGCATTCTAATCTTAAAAAGAAAATGGATTTTTAATAGATTTTGAGCGAAAACTATATAAACGAGTAGATCACTTTAAGTCTCACGACACACGCCCAAAAACTGAATCACAAGCCTAAATCATGTTAACTGAGCATAAGAAAGAAATGAGATAAAATGATACACATCTTTGCTAAAAAGTAAATATCCCTTTCGATGGTTTATAAAACTACCAAAAGCTCTAGCGTTTCTGAACTTATTTCAGTAGGACAAAATAACATTGCTAAATTATTCACAGTGCTTAAAAGCACCTCATATATATATATATTTTTTTAAAGAAAAGTGAGCGGCCTTGAGAACCACTCCACATTATAAGTCTTAACCGAAACTGTACTGACTTTGCAAATCTTTTTTAGATTCGACGACTTAAAAGAATTCGTTTTCCCTTTAACTCATAACTTTTGAAAGGTGGCCAAAGTTTGAATTATAGGATGAGCGCTTATTTTGATAACAATGTTTTTTTTTTTCAAAGAAAAATCAAATGGGACCTATCTTACACTTTATATTATTTTTCTTGTTGAATTGTCTGTGACAGTGATTTGAGCATTAATGTTCAATAAAAGAAATATAGAAGTGGTTGAGGTTGCATACCTGGAAGTGCCGGATACTTGGCTAGTTTTTAATAAATAAATAAATACATTCATAAATGTGTAAATATTTTTTTTTTATGTTTCATTTGCAAATCTAATGTAAAATAAACTAATTCAAAACAAGAGTTAAAAAAATAACTGGACCATAAAGTAGCACACCCGTACTTACCTCAATGGTCGATGTGTTTAGAGTTCCACTTGTTAGAGAGCCAATGTTTAGCTTTGTGTCTTCTATATTCCACTCACCATGAGTAATGAAGTATGTTTGGGAAATGTTTGGTAGGTTTGCTACAAACAGCAATTCATCGACAGTGTTCTTCATAGCCACCAGCTGTTCAGTGTAATGTGAAATAGTTATTTTATTATTTGGAGCAAAAATTAACCAATGATGTTACATTATAAATAAAAATGTAATAATTTTAAATAATTAGACTAGATCACCAGCAACCGCCAGTCGTGGTTCATGATGGTTTCCTCCTAATCGTCCCTATCTTCCTTCCCCAACCTACATTTCATCTCCACGATCTTCAAACCCCAAACAAAAATTATGACTGCACCACCCAACCCCACCTGATCATCGCTTATAAGCCCTTTCCTTGACCAACAAGATTGGCCCTCAATGGCCACACAATACATCTCCCAAAAGAACATAACCATACTTCCCCTCAATAGCCAAACAACACCTCACCCAGAGGGCCAAACATACTTCCCTTCACTGGCCAAACAACACCCTCCCAAAGGGACAAACATACTTCCCTTCACTGGCCAAACAACACCCCTCCCAAAGGGCCAAACATACTTCCCTTCAATGGCCAAACAACACCTCTCCCAAAGGGACAAACCATACCTCCCCTCACTGAACAAACAACGCCTCTCCCAACGGACTAGCCATAACCTCCTCTCACTGACCAAGCAACGCTTGTACTATCAAGCCAAACCATTCCCCCACTTACAGACCAGTAGTTCCTCTACTCACTTGCCAGTCAACCCCCCCTTCCACTCACTTGTAAACCATATCTACTTACTCGCAACAATGCCAACGCTCCCCATTTCCAGACGGTAGTTGTGAAATAAAATGTTACTCCCAAAACGATATAATTTACGTCGATCATTCAATTCGTACAACCACTGATATTAAATTGAAACGGGATGTCAACGGGTAATTGGGAACTAGCTGAAAATTAAATTACTTTTAAAATGCTAAGTAGTGCATTACATGGTCCCCAAAAATTGAATAAATTTAACAAAACAGGTAGACTGAACAACCAGGTAGCATGCTCCTCTCCCCTACCTTTATCACACAAGTCTGCGTATCAAACGGATAATTGGTCAGCTGGAGTTCACAGGAGGAAGGGAAGAGACTGCCTGGAGCCCAATAAGTATCACCAGTGTTGAACACAAACACTGGACTGATGAAAAAAGTTATGTTAACATTATTCTAAAACTGGTTTGCCGTTTTCAGAAGGAGAATGAAGTATATTTAGCCTCCACACCAGCATTCGCATTACAATTTAGATACTATTTCGAGATCTAAAATTACATTAGACTTTGACGATAACTTTAAGTTACGGTTTAACATAACACTCTTAAGATTGTTTCAAGTATTATTTTAAGACTAAATCAATCAATTTTTTTTTAAAAATGTCATCTATTAATAATAAATATGACTATTCAACAAGTGCATTTTAGTTCTTATTGAAAAAATGTGACCAAAAAAAAATGTAATTTATTGTTTTATCTTTTATAAAAAGTCAACAAAACAATAAATGTAATCATCTCACTAACTTTCTAAAGGGAAAAATTTTTAAATAAATCTTATTTATAATAGTCATTTGAACTGAAAACTTTCTCGGCATACAATTTTAAATGATATCAAAATGTTCACCTGATTATTTTCTTAGATTCTAGGATGAATTTGAAACAACTAGAAACAAATTTAAATGATATCATAATGTTCACCTGATTATTTTGTTAGTTTCTGGGATGAATTTGAAACTAGAAACAAATTTAAAAACGTTTCGCAATTTAACTCACGCCTTGTCGTCACCGAAGAGATCCCTGGCTCCCAGCGTATTCATCAGGACAACTCGAGGTCGCCAGATCTGCTCTGGTAATGGATGGATGACGCGTTGACCACCGTAGACAGCCGAGTCCCAAGCGACGACCTGCGTTAACAGTATTATTATGATTTGTTTTTACATGCCATTTACCTTGTTTCCCCAAGTGTTGACCCCCAGAATGTTGAGCACCAATGCCCATGTGAATATACGATTTTTCAGTCACACGTTTAAAGTGTTTATTTAGCAACTATATTAAATCTTGATAGAACATCGTTGTTACGAAATAACTTGACTAAACAAAAAAAAATCTACAAAGCGATTATAAAAAAGAGAATAAATAAGAACCAGAGATCAGATGCTTAAAACGGATGTCAGGTATATGACACTATTTTTTAAAAAAAAACACTTAATACCGTCGTGGAGAAAAAAAAAGGGGGGGGGTTCAGAGAGAGAGAGAGCTAAAGAACACCAAAAAAGACGAAAGGAAATTTGAGGACTTTATAATTTCATGGCTCAAAATCATCCTAAGTATTTTCGTTTCCTATATTAACAGCGATATAAATTTTTTGGGTTTTTTTTTTTTTTAAATTTTGATGATATTGTCAACTGTCATTTTGATCCATCCCTGTCATCACACGACATTTATATCGTGGACCATCCCTGTCATCACACGACATTTATCTCGTGGACCATCCCTGTCATCACACGACATTTATCTCGTGCACCATCCCTGTCATCACACGACATTTATCTCATGGACCATTCCTGTCATCACACGACATTTATCTCGTGGACCATCCCTGTCATCACACGACATTTATCTCATGGACCATTCCTGTCATCACACGACATTTATCTCGTGGACCATTCCTGTCATCACACTACATTTATCTCATGGACCATTCCTGTCATCACACGACATTTATCTCTGGACCTTTCCTGTCATCACACGACATTTATCTCGTGGACCATGCCTGTCATCACACGACATTTATCTCATGGACCTTTCCTGTCATCATACGACATTTATCTCGTGGACCATCCCTGTCATCACACGACATTTATCTCATGGACCATTCCTGTCATCACACGACATTTATCTAATGCACCTTTCCTGTCATCACACGACATTTATCTCGTGGACCATCCCTGTCATCACACGACATTATCTCATGGACCTTTTTCTGTCATCACACGACTTTTATCTCGTGGAACTTTCCTGTCATCACACGACATTTATCTCGTGGACCATTCCTGTCATCACACGACTTTTATCTCGTTGACCATTCCTGTCATCACACGACATTTATCTCGTGGACCATCCCTGTCATCACACGACATTTATCTCATGGACCATTCCTGTCATCACACGACATTTATCTCGTGGACCATCCCTGTCATCACACGACATTTATCTCGTGGACCATCCCTGTCATCACACGACATTTATCTCGTGGACCATCCCTGTCATCAGATGACATTTATCTCGTGGACCATTCCTGTCATCACACGACATTTATCTCGTGGACCATGCCTGTCATCACACGACATTTATCTCGTGGACCATCCCTGTCATCACACGACATTCATCTCGATGACCATTCCTGTCCAGCTAACTTTGATGTAGGGCGTTTGTGAAATGTAAGCAGTGGACCTAGTCTCTAGAACAGTCTAGAAGATAAATTTTAACGAACTACAGAGAAAGGAAGCAATTTCACTGCACCCACTTCTTAAAATGTGTTATTAAGTTACTATCCTTAAACAGTTGAACATTGGCACACACACACCCAAACACGTATGTTTTCAAAGATGGGGTCATCATCTTATGGGGGCTTAAAGTGGTGTTGTTGTTGTTGTTCTGTCCGAGATGGCATATACGGAGGTAAGCTTGATGGGTCATTCGTCCCTTTATGTCGTTTTTTCGATCGCTTTGCATCCACAGTTAGCTTGCTTAACTCTTAGCTCATCGTACCACGAGAAACCAAGAAAGCCATTGACATTAAACACTTACCTCATCGTTCCACGAGAAACCAAGAAAGTCATTGACATTAAACACTTACCTCATCGTTCCACGAGAAACCAAGAAAGCCATTGACATTAAACACTTACCTCATCGTTCCACGAGAAACCAAGAAAGTCATTGACATTAAACACTTACCTCATCGTTCCACGAGAAACCAAGAAAGTCATTGACATTAAACACTTACCTCATCGTTCAATGAGAAACCAAGAAAGCCATTCAAAGAAGAGTCTTACCTCATCGTTCCACGAGAAACCAAGTAAGCCATTGACATTAAACACTTACCTCATCGTTCCACGAGAAACCAAGTAAGCCATTGACATTAAACACTCACCTCATCGTTCCACGAGAAACCAAGAAAGCCATTTAAAGAAGAGTCTTACCTCATCGTTCCGCGAGAAACCAAGTAAGCCATTGACATTAAACACTTACCTCATCGTTCCCCGAGAAAACAAGTAAGCCATTGACATTAAACACTTACCTCGTCGTTCCACGAGAAACCAAGTAAGCCATTGACATTAAACACTTACCTCATCGTTCCACGAGAAACCAAGTAAGCCATTGACATTAAACACTTACCTCATCGTTCCACGAGAAACCAAGTAAGTCATTGACATTAAACACTTACCTCATCGGTCCACGAGAAACCAAGAAAACCATTGACATTAAACACGTACCTCATCGGTCCACGAGAAACCAAGAAAGCCATTGACATTAAACACTTACCTCATCGTTCCACGAGAAACCAAGAAAGTCATTGACATTAAACACTTACCTCATCGTTCCACGAGAAACCAAGAAAGCCATTGACATTAAACACTTACCTCATCGTTCCACGAGAAACAAAGAAAGCCATTCAAAGAAGAGTCTTACCTCATCGTTCCACGAGAAACCAAGTAAGCCATTGACATTAAAAACTTACCTCATCGTTCCACGAGAAACCAAGAAAGCCGTTGACAGTAAAACTCTGAGCGACGTCATCAATGTCAACGATGGACACCACCTCAAAGCTGACATGGACGGCAATCACCTTGGACTGGTCCACCAGTGGTCTGACCTCTGTGTTGTAGGTCAAAGGGTCTAACTTGTCTTTGAAAATTGAATCGGTTTGAGAGTAGCTCTGGCCTTGAATAGGGCGGTACAGTCCAAAAAGCAGTAACACGGTAAAAACACTAGTAGATATTTTTCGGATGGCCATTATATTGTTCGTGTTCACCATTTAGGGCAGTCGTGTTAGTTTAATATTTTCTCCAATACTCGAGTGTTAAAGCACATCTTTACATAAAGAGTAGTTTATATATATATATAGAGAGAGAGAAAAAGAGAAATTCATAAAATGTAAAATTTAAAGATAACATTTTAAGTTTCTTTATAAAAAATAATGTTTTCCTTGAAACAAAGCATTTTTTTGCTTCAATTTTCTTTCTTTTTTTTAAATGCAACAGCCTTAATTAAATAGTCACATTCATTTTCCCGGTTGAATTGTTCTATATCTTTCATTTACTGTATCCTAATCACTGTGAGCGCGATACACATTCAATAAATGCAGTCAGGTGAACCACTCCGCATTGAGGCTGTTGAAGAAAGAGAACATAATTTATTAATGGAGATGGCGGGACGAGTTATTCATATTATAAAGATTTTTTTGCAAATAACTCCCTGCATGTTTATTAGGAAACTTCGCTGCTGCATAATTTGATTTCTGTTACATTTCTTTTCTGTTACATTTCTTTTCTGTTACATTTCTTTTCTGTTGCATTTAGTTCTGTTACATTTCTTTTCTGTTACATTTCTTTCTGTTACATTTCTTTTCTGTTACATTTCGTTCTGTTACATTTCGTTCTGTTACATTTCGTTCTGTTACATTTCGTTCTGTTACATTCCGTTCTGTTACAGGCTTGGCTCAGCCTGCACGTGACATTCGTGAAATCATCAGTTGAAAAAAAAAAGAATTTCATGTTAACATCGCTCAAGAATTCAAATCGGCAAAAGAATGACAGCTGTTCAATCTCAGCCTGCCGCCTGGCCCACTGGATTCGTTTATATCCATATCTAAAGTTCTATCTATCCCACTGGATGCGTTTATCCATATCTTAAGTTCTATCTATCCCACTGGATGCGTTTATCCATATCTTAAGTTCTATCTATCCCACTAGATGCGTTTATCCATATCTAAAGTTCTATCTATCCCACTGGATGCGTTTATCCATATCTTAAGTTCTATCTATCCCACTGGATGCGTTTATCCATATCTTAAGTTCTATCTATCCCACTGGATGCGTTTATCCATATCTAAAGTTCTATCTATCCCACTGGATGCGTTTATCCATATCTAAAGTTCTATCTATCCCACTGGATGCGTTCATCCATAATATCTTAAGTTCTATATACCCCACTTGATGGTTTATCCATATCTTAAGTTCTATATACCCTACTGGATGTGTTTATCCATATCTTAAGTTCTATCTATCCCACTGGATGCGTTTATCCATATCTAAAGTTCAAATTTGGGCGACTTAAAAAAAAACAAAAAAAAACACCTAAGCTCACAAGCTAGTAGACATCAAAACATCTCGAACAATTAGATTAGTTCTTCATTGGTTAACGTATTCAAAAATATAATGAATCTGTTATCTAAGTACCTACTTGAGGAGAGGCTTGAAATAAAAATGTGTCGTCAAATCACTTAAAGACTTCGATTGTGTTGTCGAGTAGTTCCAAAACAATTTTAAAAAACAAGCAAACAGGTTCACGTATTGTTTTACTTGCCATGACAACACATCAACAGACAAGGCGTGAGTTACAGGGCTGTAAACTGTAATGGACGACTCCACGCCTAATGACAGCCGACACTCCAAGGCACCGAAACGTACAGTCTGACATACTGAGAGCTGCAGCAGTGAGAAGCGAACCGTGGCGTCATAGGTTGCGGCTACAGTTAAAACGACGCTTGAAGCTGAACGGAATCCCCCGAGAGAATTGATTGTGAGAGACCGGGTCCTAATTCACCATGAGGTGTAACAGTTAATCGGTTGTCTATTGAATGTATTGAACGCCCCCTCCCCCGTCCCACCCTCCCCCAGCGCTTGTCGCCACCCACGTCCCAAGGTGTCTGTTTACTTAATTTGAAAAAAAACCAACTCTTAACTTGAAAATGTATGGTGACCATTCGTCAGCACAGTGACCATTCGTAAGTACGGCGACCATTCGTCAGTACGGCGACCATTCGTCAGTACGGCGACCATTCGTCAGTACGGCGACCATTCGTCAGTACAGTGACCATTCGTCAGTACAGTGACCATTCGTCAGTACGGCGACCATTCGTCAGTACGGCGACCATTCGTCAGTACAGTGACCATTCGTCAGTACGGCGACCATTCGTCAGGTGACCATTCGTCAGTACGGCGACCATTCGTCAGGTGACCATTCGTCAGTACGGTGACCATTCATCGCACATTGTGATGAACCATGATTTCAAAGCTGTTCGCGCCAGGAAGGATCCCCCCTAAAGCGTGACTTGTTGAAGTGAATCTAACCGACTGAAAAAAAAATAATAACTCGACAAGGGAGGAAATAACGTACAACAAAACCAAGACCACACACACACACACACACAATCATTGCTTAACGTCATTTTATGTCAGGGGCTGTTTCTTGATGGGAACGGCACGGGCCTTAAATTGATTCTTGCGACACCACGGGGGTAACTTTAACCCATGCCACGGTATGGGGTCATCACCCTTTACAATATGTGATCCATATGGTAATTATATTGAATCCCCAGTCACATGGATTCAAATGTATGCTTATGGGAGACGTATTACAAAATCAATGACTCTCTTAGCGGGCCTTGTTGTTCTCGGGGGGGGGGGGTGGTTTGTACGAATCGCTTGGGGGAGAACTATGCTTCGAAGCTTTTCAAACACTAACAAACTTACTGTAAGACTATCATATCAACGGTATAATTATGATTACACGTAATATTAATTTTAAAAAGTCGTAAATAGAGATTATTGGAATCATCGATATTCATTGAATACGTATTACTATAAAAATGTCTGCTTTAGGAAATCACTATGAACACCTGCCCTTTAAGCAACGTGATGCTAGACCAGGGGGTCTTAAGATGTGATCAGTGGACCCCCTAGGGTGTCTGTGAAGAGCTGTAGTTTATGATATTATTTTATGCAAAAAATAATTCAAGAGCCCCTCTGCTAGATATTCATAATACGGTATTTAATTTGAACCCAGAAAAACGATATATCGAGTAATTGGTTGCTCTGACACTTGTCAGATACGCTATTGTTCCAAGTAACATTGGTGGTTCTGACACTGCAACGATGTACGCTATTGTTCTAAGTAACATTGGTTGTTCTGACACTTGTCAGATACACTATTGTGCTAAGTAACCTGCTGCTCACCAAGCTCAATGAAAATCACGAGTGGTCGCTGCAGGTGGTCATTCTGGTGCTTGATACAAATAGAGCACAGTATCCTTCACTGGTTGAACAACAAAGGCAGCAAGATCAGTTCGTATGAACTATTTTGGGGCATTTTTCAGCCACTAAAATTGCTTAGTAAAGAATCTAAATTTGTCTCTGTGCCACCATATTTCTGACAGGGCTTGCACGACACGTGAGCTTATTGATAAGTGAGAGAAGTATCACAGCTAAGACCATGAACATCAGTTGGTCACACTAACAAATGTTTTTAATGTTATATCCCACCCACTTCATCATAGATACCTAAGATCAGCTCCATCGGGGGTGAATACTTTTTCTTTAAGTTAGGACCGAAAGAAATACGGTAAAGATTCATTTTGTTGCCCAGTCTGTACACATTTACCAGCGTGCTCCCCAATCGGTTACCAAATCTAAATGATCACTAATTAAGTCATTATTGTCACTAAAAGAGTTCATTTACGGCTGATTTCTAAGGTAGAAAAATGATTGTCCTCTTTTGAAATTGTTATAATTGTAAAATGTTATCTTGGTTAAAAATATGTATTTATTTTTGTGCTGAAAATAATTATGTACACTATAATAAAGAAAAAAATTCCCTTTATTTGGATCAAAAGAATCTTATCTTATCCTTTAGAGAATATTAATCTTCAGAACACTAAAGAACAAAGTATGCATAGTAAATAAGATTAAGTGTGGCCCCAAACTTAAAGTTAAGTCTTTCTCTTTCCAGTAAATATGAAATATTCGATTCTGTTATTCCGTGTCAGAAACACTTTGATCAAAGAAAACTTGAGAGTCGCCACTCTCAAACCTGTGTTGTCATTTTCCAGTAGAGGCGACGGGCTTGAGTAACATGTGAGATTAACTTCTCATTAGAAAGACGGTAAGGGAAAACTGAAAAAGACGAAACATAACATTGAACATTTCGGCAAGACGCTTTTCCGAAGAACAGAAAAAGTATGAATGAAGAATGGAAAAAAATAGCGTACATGAGATTGTGTCACAGAGAACTGAAACATGATGATAGTGAACTAGGAGTCGGTTAGGGAACTATTTTATGGGAATGTGGGGAAGAGAGGATGGAAAGAAGGTACGCGGTGGTTGGTTGTGATGAAGTAAAGAACGGGAAGTGGGGAGGGAGACAAAAAATGCTCGGAAGTGAAATAAATCTTGACCTTGATACCATGTTTGTCTTTATTCGAAAGCAGACGTATGTTTCTTTTGGTTATAAGTTGCTAATGCTTGTCACACTTTTGATGCTTTCGAATAAAGACAAACATGGTATCAAACCATCAGACGAAAGACACAACTTTTAAAAACTATTGCTTCATTAAATTAGATTTCATCGTGTGGTATTAGGGTCGTACAGTTTAAGTATAACATATGACTAAATTACTGCTGAAACATTTACACAATCTTTAGTCACTTAAAATGGAGGTATCATTTTTCCGCTATTACATACTTTTTTAGGGATTTTTTTTTCTGTGGGGGTGGACCGTTAAGTCTAACTGCATATTTTTTTAGATTGCAAATAAGACATTTAACTTTTTAAAAAAAGGGATTTAAGTACATTTCTATGATCCTGTGTGAGCTCCCACCACCACCCCCCCCCCTTTACCTTATATTTAAATACGGTTATTTATATTTAAAAATGAGTCCCAAAGTATGGGTGTACATAAAAAGCGAGTCCAATGTGATTTTGTCGTACTGAGATCTGTAGGACATCCGGCATGACATCAAAGGAGGACCACTCGCAAAAGAAACTGCCGTCATGTAAATGTCAGCATGACTTTTAACGATTGACAGGTGATCCCCGGTTTCCCAGATTGTGTCATAGTTTTTCAATCGTCATTGGCTTTCCATGCAGGCCTTTCCTCTCATGTGAAGGTAAAGGCCACAATCCATACAGGCCTTCCCTCTCAAGGGAAAGGGAAAGGCCCCATTCCATACAGGACTTCTCTCTCATGTGAAAGGCCCTATTCCATAATGCCTTTCATCTCATGTGAAAGCGAAAGGCCCCATTCCATACAGGCTTTCCGTCTCATGTGAACGGCCGCTCTCATGCTAACAAGCTTACCATTAAAAGTACAATTTAGGTCCATCCCCCAGGTGTGGTCCGATCGTTTCCTCCATGAGGCGATGTCGTTGGAATAATGTTTCTAGTTTTTAAATCACCACCAGCAACTGATCGATATTTATTGTTTAAATCACCACCAGCAACTGATCGATATTTATTGTTTAACTCACCACCAGCAACTAATCCATATTTATTGTTTAAATCACCACCAGCTACTGATCGATATTTATTGTTTAAATCACCACCAGCAAATGATCGATAATTATTGTTTAAATCACCACCAGCAACTGATCGATATTTATTGTTTAAATCACCACCAGCAACTGATCGATATTTATTGTTTAAATCACCACCAGCAACTGATCGATATTTATTGTTTAAATCACCACCAGCAACTGATCGATATTTATTGTTTAAATCACCACCAGCAACTGATCGATATTTAATGGTTTTGTTTTTTGTAAGCTTTTAACGTTCAGGTAAAAAAAAAATGCGTAGATCTTTACTTTATAAACTCCGTGTATAATAATTATGTTTTACACTCCCCGACGTATGTTAGTGTATCTGTTTGCACTCATGATTCGTCTTGTGTAATGCTAAATTTTTAAAGTCAAATTATGTTTGTTTTTAAAAGAAGACAAACAAAAAATTAGAAAAATAAATAATTTTTTTTTTTTAGATTAATTTTTTGTTTTACTTTACACTGTGTCTGTACGTCGTGTGTTGGTGTTATTGAGTACGAGCTGTTCAAACAGTAGATGAATGTGTGGCTGAACGGCACCTGATGAAGCTTATTATGCACATACGAGACGGCACGGTCTAATTTATGTGTGCGTTTGGGAATAATTCACGTTTTCAAACAAATGCACTCCACATAAATGTCCATGTGAATATTTGCGAGCTGCCAATCTCTGTGGTGAAAAGATAAAGCACTGAGCTGAGATGGACAATCTATTCACTATGACGTCATATTTTGTTTCACCGTTGAAAGATATTTCAATAAAATTAGTATGCTGATCAAGTAATTTAGATGATTGCTTTAATAATGCAATAAAAAGGGTTCATTCTACCGCTACAAAAATATATAAATGGAATTGGTCATTCGTATTCATCACAGTGTATCATGTTTAAACACTCACTATAGGAAATAAAATGTAAGGCGAGGGATGAGGAGGTTTGAAAGTGATAACAACACCTAGACACCAAGACACCAAGACACCACGACAGCACGACACCAAGACACCACGACAGCATGACACCAAGACACCAAGACACAACGACAGCACGACAC